AATACTAATCTATATATTACCTAGCAAATCATTCTTTTAGAATTTCTTTTTTTTCCTCCTGACTTTTAAAAACACAATTGGTAAAGTAATTCATTAAAGTTTTTTTAAAGATCAAGAATTACCGATCAGAACGAGCAAATTTACTCAAGATAAAAAGAAACGACGATCACGGTTGTGAATGAAGTTAAATCACAACCGTGATCGTGATAAATCACTGTTGGTGATTTTGCACATCATCTCTCCACGTGGTTGAAGTGGTTCACGGCGGGAAATTTAAATATATGAACGGTGGTGTATTGGGTGCCCCGATCGATAACTTCATCGTGTCCCCTTGATACTGCGGCATTCCGATCGATCAACCGTTCACGATACCGAACCACTGAACCGAATCGATCGTCATTTGCGGATTAAATTTATTTCATCGCTCAAATCGCGTATATCCGTAGCCGACAGCCAATATCACTAAATTCACGGCGAACGACGTGACTGTCGTGGTTGTAAAATAAATATAACGCTTGAACCGCCGCCAGTCCGATCGGTAAATCACGTAGGCCCGCGTAGTCACTATCACTCGCGAAAATCTTATCGAGCTCGTAAACCCACTTCCGCTTTCTACCGTTTGCAAATGTATACGTATGCACGATTAAATTAAAAAAATCGAGTTCAGTTTTAAACGATCTTGAAAACACGATGTCCCTTTTATGGAAACAGATTGTATAATTTGTACAATAAAAACTTTTCTTTTGTCTGTTTCTCATAAAGACGATAATTTTAGGAATATTTTAACTGACACTTTTTATAGGTCACCTCATATGTATATGCATACTGGATACAGATAAACTTGTGATTTAATTCTACGTGACAATCGAAATGGAAAAATAAATAGTTTGTATACCAGATATTGTTTAAAAGAAAATCAATTTTGAACATTCATCTAATACTGTTCAGAGTTGGGAATAGTTTTATTCAAAATGCAACAGTACTTTAAGATTGTCATCCTAACCTTTAAACAGTTAGTGAGATTAAATAATTGTTTGACAAGTGTCTACTCATTCAAGGAGAAGTATTATTCTATTATAGAAATTGAAATTTCCACGTTCAATCGATTAAAAATAGCGAAGTACTGTTTTTATCTTTTACTCAAAACTTTGTGTTCAGATAAAGAATTTGCCCATTTCTGGTCCCATTCTGTGACATGCGCACCAAGCATATGTTCGGACGTGAATTCCATCAACGCCAAAGTTGTACTCGCAGAAAACATTATCCTCGACTTTCGACGTCTTTTTCGCGAAGAATCAACCCCTGTATCCCAATTCGACCGTCACGTTTGTCTCTCACCCTGTGCATATTCATCGAAGGCGAGTGGAAGATAAATATAGACCGTCCGTTATTCCAAACAGTCATCAATAGCCGGCCGAAGACGTGGCGAGAAGTAAAGGGGAAAAAAAAAGAAAAGAAAAATGCGTGGCGCGCGTCTGATCGTCGTCGACGGTTGGAAAAACGGGGAAAATGTCAAGAGGCGATTCTATGTTTAAAACGCCGGCACGCGAAAACATATATTTCTTGCTGTCCAACATGGATTTACCTACATCACACGCGGCTAATTCACCTTATAATTCCAATATGTCGCACGCACACAACCACCTACACAAACGACCGCGTCACGTTATCACTGTGCTCTGTGTGTAAGTACGTTCGCTTCAATGTTTCTCGCGGCGAATATACACGCCGGTGTCCGATGGATGGGAATGTTGGCGCCAACCTCTCGTCGTCCATTACGCGTTCACACGCCACACACATACACATATACATATACGCACAAGACAGCAGACATTATGCGTGGCACAATCGACGATGATGAAGCAAGTCGAATCTCGTTTGCCATTCGAACGCTTATAATCCTGATCGGGATCCGGCGATGTTGAAAGCCCTAGCCATAGATCGTTATTGTTCGAAGCTGAGGTCGAGAGGAACAGCCTCTCTGCTTCTAGTTCGACCACTGCCTGTGTACCATTTGTTTTTGTCAGATGTACGCACGACTGCTCGCTCACGAACGCTCGCGTTCACGTACAGATGGCAGGGTTCGAGAAAATTTTATTTCGAATAACAAAACTCTCCCGGGACACTCGAATTTTACAAGGGTGAAATTGTACACTCGCGAGGAAACTCGGCTTCCATTAGGGGAAAAAGCGACGTAGAAGAAAAGTCTTCTATCACTTGGTAAATTTATTCCAGGTAGGTAGAGATTTTCGGACGAAAGTTGTGTGCTTTGGAAACAGTTCCGGTTATAGCAAACCATAGAACTACACCACCAATGTAAACGCGTCATTCGACTCCTGACGTAGCTAGCTGCAATTGCTAGTGAGATGTTGGGTTAGCCTTTTTAAAAGGACACCGACTTGTATTCGAGAACTGACAACGGTAATAACTGTATTTAAATCTAGTGAAGTGTTATGGTGTGAAACAAAAAACGAATGAACTCGTGAACCGGGTAAGGTTAGGATAACTGGAAATAACAAATATCTTCGTTAACTATTTCGATTCATCGCCTTGTCCTAGTCTTTAAATCAGTACTATTCGGAAGGTTTACGCGTACGCGTGTTGCTCCGTGAACAAATTACCATTCCGCGAAGGATGTTTTCACTTACCTTGCCCGTTCGGAAGTCGGCGGAACCCTTCAGCTCTGCTAAGGCTATTTGTTATTCGCCGATGAACAGTTTTACGTGGCGGTTGCGAGAAGACGCCGCGAGAGATCCGAAAGGCCACCCGATGACGAGCGGCATCCGAACGGTTCGTTATATTGCCGGCGTGGAGATGCCTGCCTGGCGCCGTCTGCGAGACATATCTATCACAAACAGCTTCGTCTGACATTCAATACGTGATCGTTACTCTCTCGCAGGTTGTTAATAATTCTAAAAATACGAGGGGGGCACCGGGTTTGCGCCGTTTCACAAGCACGTCCGCGTCCGCGATGGCATACAAACGCGCGGGAACCGTAAGCATGATGGATAGGAAGTACGTTTGAATAGATATGGAATAACAAACTCTGGCCTATATTTGATTGACAGCGCCATCTTTTTTTCCCAATTGCATCTTTCGAACGTAGGAAAAGAATACATCTTCCGTATCGATATTATAGTTCCCCATAAGGGAAAATATTTTTACCCAATGTTTCTTTGTCATAGACGATAAAGATTAATTTTTTCGTTTTAATTATTTGAAATGTCACGAATCGTGGTCCATCTACGATAGAAATCGAATCGCATAGAAAGTTGTATAATGCAGAAATTTATTTTTCATAATTCCAGTGAAAAATCAGGGCTCTTATAACAGGCGACACAACCTATGATTAAGGGATCATGCAATTCAGAGATCACTCATCTCGAGATTTGTGGTGACGACCGTTCTACATACGCGGGTATGAAAGCTATTTATTATATTTGTTTAATATATTTATCGAACAATCCACTCTTAATGGAACCGGATTCATTAGTGCGCGCGTATAATCTCCAGTCGATGTCGAATGACAATACACCGTATTGAGTACTTACTCATACGGCGAAGGTTACGACGCGAGAAAATGTCACGACACTGAGGTCACGCGCATGGGTGCGATGTCATGAATGCAATTTATAAGCATTTAACCCATTTATCGTTGTCGCGGCGATAATGCATTGTGGCACAATATGAATATTCTGGTATCGATTCCGAATCGACTGTGATCGATAACCTAACTCTGTGTGTAGTAAATATACCGTTCTACGAAACACAACCAGAGGGACTTGAAGCAAATATGCACACGTTGAAATGTACGAGAAGGAAACAACATAATAATGTTTATACACTTCCATGACGTTTTTATATACAGTGTTCCACACGGCTTTATCGTTCGAAATGCTTTCTGTAATTAAAGAGACGATCCTGTGCAATTGTTAAATATTATTGTAAAAGTTGTCTTTGAACGTGGAAAAATCGAAGTTGACCTTTGCTTTTGAAATTTATACAATCATTAAGTATACAGATAATGATAAAATATGTTATTGTATAATTATAGAACTCTATAGAGAAATGAAGTTTAGGACACCCTGTATACGTGCAATGAATTGATGAAACACAGAATAATAATGAGTATTGCGTACAATTTTTTTGCAACAGTTCTATGAACTTTGAGGCTCGTTATCGATGCAACAAACAGAATATCTCAAATTTACGACAGTAATTGTATTCTGATTAATAAGCCGATAACCCGCGGTGTCGGTAATAAAACGTTATCGTACACCTTAAATATTACGTTCTTTATTTTTGTTCTGACAGAGTCGGGGAAATAATATCCTCGTCCAAGTCCATAATTATCTCTAAACGTTTAAACATACACACGTTATTCGGAAATCGAAAGAAAAGTCTTGTCACACACAATTTTACTGCTAATTTGTAAGATTTTACGCAAATTTCGTTATTTTTTTCCTTTTATGGAAGAATAAAAAATTTATAATTCATGATTTATCCGTAACTAAACCTATAATTAGTCGATAAGTAAGAAACGAGAACTTAAGTGGCTAAATGAAACATGCGGTATGGGCGGTGCGCAGTCTTTAGTTGTAATTTAAAAAAAAAAGAAAACAAAAGAAATAAAGAAATGTAATCGTGCGTGTGAAACTGAAGTACCATCGTCTGAACAAGGGATGCGTGCAGACCGAGCACGAAGTCACTAGGAGGACAGAGGTGTGTGCTTGCCTCTTTGTATGTAACAATATGCATGTATTATGTATGGTACGTATGTGTATATACATATTTATGTATGTATATATGCGTTTCATTACGTATATACATATATGCATATACATATACATATTTCCATGATATTTATGGTTTTTCTTGTATCAGTGCAGAAACTCCTTTATCCTAGTCATTCCCTGCACAGTATGCATGCATCCTGTAGAGAGGACTCTATAATTCTATGTATACATATATATATAATATATATATAATCAGCCAGAACAAAAACAAAACTATTTTCAACGGCAAATAACATATAGACTACATAAAGCACAATTACAGTATATTTCACAAATTGTTTAAACATTCATATATAATTATACGAATCTTCGCATAGGAGGGAAAGGCGATTTGATCAATTTAGGGGAATATTACTTCGTAAAAACAATGTATTTTTAAAAGGACAAGGAAAACATTAGGAGATTGAAGGGCTTGCAAAAATGGCTTCATCTGGCGGATCGCCATGCCAGTACGGAATTGCTGGCTTAAAAATTGCGAGGCCTATCTCTCGTTGCTTGCGAGAGGTTCTTTCCTAGTTCTTTTTTTTGCTTCACACGTTTTTTTTCAGCGTCTTTTCTTTTACCTTTTTTTTTCTTTTCTCAAATGATTCATCTGCATTTCCCGCCACGATCGATGCATAATTTCGGAATGTTGACAATATTCTAATTCTTCTTGTTACCTTATCAAGGTGCAATAAATAAATGATATCTCTTTTACACTGAGATATACCTGGTTGGCTAACCGTTGTATCGCGAGCAGGTGAAGGAGGGTGCAGTAACTGCACCTGCCGATAACCAAGCAGTAAGACAACCATTTGTATAGTTTTGCTTTGCATTTCATCATATTTTTTTCATTTCGACGTATACCACTGAAAACTTAAAAAAATAGAAACAAACTTCTGTAACTAGAAACAGTAAGTCATTGCACCGTCGGTTACCACTCACTGCATCATTACGTTCTTTTTTTTTTTCATGTCAACTGGTGATCCGATGTGACATTTTGTAATGTAATGGACAGAGCAACATTCTCTCATCTATTGATCACATTTTTATCATCGTATTTATATAATGTAATGTACAATATGCAGCTACATTATGATAATCAGTATGTCCAACGCATTCAAACTGACAACACCGTGGGTACTTCACTTGTGGTTTTTTTTTTTGTTGTTCGTAAACTTTTTTTGTCGAAAGATATTCAAATTATTAATTAATCAAATGTGTATTGTATGTTTCAGAGTTAGGTACTTTAATACAATTACTTCCAAGTTTTTCCACTTTTCTCGTGGTATCTCTGTGTAAAAAGTGTAACTATAATGCTAATATAATAATAATTATAATAATAAGTTGCACAAGGCAAATAGTCCTGTGTGGCCGTTCGAATGTGTGCTTCCGGCCGAATTTCCCCACTCCCCTCCCCCCGACAAAACTTCCTGGCACAATGACAACTTTCGATAATCTTTCCACCCTCCACTCAAGATCCAAGACGATCTTGCAGTTTGCACTTAGTGTTACCTCTGTTTTTTTTGTTTTTATATTATTACTCATTCATGGGGGGGGACAGGTGTGCAGCTGATTTTTTATGATGTTAATATAGCAACTGAATGTTGACAGAATAACGGTCCAATTAGCGATTGGCATTTTTGAGCTGATTGGAGAGCCAATCAAGACCCTCGTAAAGTCCATCTCCACTTGTGGCACACGTTGCTTGGATGTACCAATTACGATTACGTAGAGAGTGCAGGCCCAACTTGTCGGTAATTTCTGCTGCATTCATTGCATTTGGGAGATCCTGAAATATTCATCGATCGATTTATTTTTATGGTCACGGCTTAATTGTTATATTTTTCTTGGCACATCTCCATTTCATGCACATAGCATATGTTTACACAACAAACATACGCGTTAGATTTTTAAATGCTTTATGTGCTACTATATTTCAATGGACTATACACAAGTCTTTAAGTGTATAAATACTTTCGAGTCTATACTCACTTGTTTGTTAGCAAATATAAGGAGTACCGCATCTCTAAGTTCATCTTCTGCTAACATTCTCATCAATTCTTCGCGCGCTTCACCGATACGTTCCCTATCATTACTGTCAACGACAAATATCAGTCCCTGCAAGTAGGTTCAATCCATGAATACAAGTCCATTATAATTCATATGCGTCTCAAGTAAACTATGAAATAAACATACATTTTGACTATATACATTTGTATCTACATAAAAAGCAAGGGACTACGTAAGTTTGTTCAGCTTTATGTTAGATCTAATGTAACTAGTGCAAAAATTTAGTACCGAATCAGTGGTTTACATACTTGTGTATTTTGAAAGTAATGTCGCCAGAGAGGTCTGATTTTGTCTTGGCCACCAACGTCCCATACAGTAAAACTTATATTCTTGTACTCGACTGTTTCTACATTGAAACCTAAAATTTTTAATTTATCATTAGTACTCTGTATAGCACCGTTCCCTGTTATTACGAATATACTTAATAAGGTTAAGATAATAATGAAACCATAGGAAATACAAAATTCTAAAAATTAAAAAAAAAAATATAATGACAATAAAATGTTATATTTACCTATAGTGGGAATTGTAGTAACAATTTCCCCTAATTTTAATTTGTACAGAATTGTGGTTTTACCAGCTGCATCAAGACCCACCATCAGAATCCTCATTTCTTTTTTGCCAAAGAGGCCTTTGAATAACGTTGTGAACATGTTCCCCATGGCTGGTGTTGATTATGTATATACCTGTAACAATAAATGACGCATAACAAACTTAATAACATTTCAAGCACATCGCACATCAAAATTCTTAAAACATATACTTTATTTCGAATACACGTATATATATACATATATCATAACTTTATTCTCTCTTTGTTCTATTCATTCAGCTGCTACTGAATATTTCAAAATAATGTTAAACAATTCCTAAGTTTGTGTAAAATCTATTCAAAAGTATGCACAAACATACACAGAAAGAATGAGATACAGATCAATTAATATGGGGGCAAGAGCATCATCTGCAGGCGGGTAAATACAGAGAAAAAAAGGCACGTAATCACGAAACAATAACTTTGCATCACCGATACACGTAGTTAAAATTAGTCTACGAAGAAATAACTATGCCTGACATATGCGAGTCTACGATGCCACGACTAATCGACGTGCAACAATACGTCGGGGCCTTTAAACTCCGATGATGAAAGAAAAAGAGACGAGAGATTTTCTATGGGGTAAAAAAAAAAAGAAAAAAAAAACAATCGCTACGATCAAAAGAAAACGCGTAGTATGGGTGGCCAAAGAAAAGATCCACGTACCCGCGAAACACCGAAATGACGCAAACGGAGCGAACGGACCAGAAACATGCGTGAAGTACCGATACGCTGCTGACACAAAGACGAAAAAGCTAACCTGCACATTAACGAGGAGTGTGCGACAAAAAACAGAAAAGAAAGACCAAACCGTCCCGAATAACGCGAATCGTCGATTTTTCAGATTAACGAACGAAAACGAAGGAAAGAGAAAGAAAAAAAAATAGGAATGTGTAGAAGCACGCACGAGATGCTCACGCTGCCCGCTATTGATTCTCATTTTAATACATCGCTATGATTATCGGACTAGCATACCGTCGGGGATCACTCTAGAGTGTTTCGTCGGTGATCTATGCACTTTTGATACGTGATCGGCTAGCTAATACGCCAATACCGAGGTATTGCGAGCAAGGCGGAAGATATTGTGCGGTTTGCGAAGCCACTGCGTACACCCGGTTGTCTGTCACCTTCGACCTACTCCCCAGCGAATCGTCAAAGGTTCCCCGCTCAAACTTCCATTACTTAGAAACGTCGTCTGATTTACCGTGTGCTTCCCGTAATGTCAGGCCGCCCGTACAAGCCACTTGCGTTACTTACGTTTCAGTAAAAAAGATTATTTTCACGGGAAACGATAAAACATAAAACCAACACTCTTGAAAAGTACCGTATGTCAAAATGGCGGACGTGGAAAGGATTCATGCCTTATGCCACGTATAGGGCCCTCGAAATTCTCCGATTGGTTAGACCGGTCACGTGACGTACAGTATTCGCGGTGGCTCGAATTTAGTTCACCAGGTGGCGATACTGACGCCCGCGACTCTGGTAAGTCATCAAAAATTTCGTGAGTGTGTGGGTGAGTGTAAGCTGGGTAAGCCAACCGTGCGTGTTCGTAGAAAAGGCTTACGCTCGTGAACACAGATATTTGTAGATGGGTAAGTCTCTTAAATATAGTAGGTCGTATTAGACACGAAAGAGGGAAAATCTGAAATCATATTTTTTTTTTCAATTCATACGAAGTCGCTGGCATGAATTGAACAAAACTGTTAAAACTTGCAATCGTATTTATTTATATAGGCACGTATATTTGTTTTCATTTATACTCCTGGGTTATGATACTTTTCATCTAATGTTCCTTCTCCTGAAATTTCACACTCTTCCACATTATACGGAATATCAGTTATTATTTCTAATGTCTCGACAGACTGTCCTGGTTTCCTGTACATGAAGATAAAACAATTAAAGCTAGCAATGATATTAACAGCATTCAATTTACTTTAATGCATTTACTTTGGTTGGAAGGAAATTGTAAGTGTAAAGCAACTTCCACTAATGTTAGTACGTAACAATTTTCCTTCCTCGTGATCAATCGCAAAGTCTTCGTTTTTAAATTTACGTTCTATTTTAAATGTGTGGGTGCATACTGTATACAATTGAAGCAGTGTATATTGTTATGGAAAATAATTTATTTAAATGATCGTCTAATGAGGTGTTAATAATAACTGTACTTGATAAATTTTTAATAAGTAATGTTAACTTTTTGGTGTCACCTATGTAGACAAGCCCAAAATCTAATGTATACGATGACAGTTTCAACAATGGTAGCCAAATGTCTAGAATTAATTCGACCTCCTAGAATTGCATAATAAGTTTAATATATGCAAAGTCATATTAAGACAGATAAGAGAAGAAATAAAAATTTCAGACCTGATTGCCCTTATCTGAATATATGATAACTAATGATTCTCTGAGTGTGATTATGGAATTACGAAATTCTTCAGTTTTACTTGTGTGTAGTATAGTATTAATTAATTCTTCATTCACAGTGCATACAATTTCTACCTATAAGGGTAGTATAACTTAAGCTTTCTTACATATTTTACACTAAACAAAAAATTTCATTACCTCAGCACATCCGTGTCCATTTACACACATGCCTACTGTAGGCTTGCAGGGATCTTTTTCGACATAAATTGAAGTAGATTTGATATGAAATGGATTATATGTTTCCATAACAACTTTTATTACATTAGTCTGATTATTATAGAAAAAAAATGTTTTTTTCAATCTAAAATTAAAAGGGATAATTTTAGCTTACAATTAGAATGTATGTGTGGAAAAAAATATTGGAATATAATAAATATTCATACTCCAGTTTTTTTCTTTTTGTTTGTATTACATCATTAACACAGCATGTAAATGTTCTATCAGCTTCAGAAATGTTAAACAGCAATCGTGGCTTAACAAAAGTTGCTGTGACATCAAACTCTATGGGATGCAAGTAGTTTCCATCTGGTCTAGAATACTGATTGTCTCGATATCTGAAAGGCAATAAAATGTTTAATAGCCTGATCATGTAAAACACTAATAATATATACAAACTTATCACTTGGAGCTATTCGCAAGAATCCTAAGACCTTGCAGGAAAATTCTCCTTTGAAGTTTCCATTATTGGTACATTTATCTGGACATATACTTATGTTCACTGTTTCATTACTTTTTGGTAATATAAATGTTTCAGTAGGAGTGACCTTGAGAAATATTACATAATAAGTATTTCAAATAATTAGAACACAAATCTTTGTTCTTCTTACAGTGCAGAAATCTTTATCAGCCTCGCCATAGTATGGAAGTATGGAAATCTTAAATTCAATATCTAAATCTTCAGTAGTTTTAGTTTGATGTGAATCTACACGTGTATCATCCTCCATATATTCATGATGATCTTTGGTCCACCAAATAACATTACTGCTAACGTCAACTGTAGAAGGTTTAGCCTTGTCTGAATTCTTGTTATTTAATATCCAAGTTGAGTTAGTTCCTAATGTACTAAATTAATTTATAGATTACAATGTCAGATAATATTTGATACTAAAAATTACAATGTAAATTGATACTGTTACTAAATGTGTTGCGCGAAATTTATACTGTCTTCGATATTTAGATACTTTGACATACGTAGGTATATAACTCCTTACAGATAAGAAGGTAGTGTTGTGTCACTATAAGTGTTTGTTACGTTGCTCAACAAATCCGCAACACTATCATTAATCCCAATAACATCATCCGAGTTTGTAGTTTTTGATTTTCGTTCAACTGTTATGTGTTTTTCCGTATGCGTTTCACTTTTGCTTCGATGTTTGCTGTCCCTTAATTCTTTGGATAATGCGTCGGTAAATGGAGTGCAAACATCGAGGATAACATTAAATGGAAGTGTTTGAGTTCTAGTCGGCTGGATCAAGAAGACGTGCCAGTCGATAGCTACCGGTACAACACTTGTATTCTTCAAATATATTTTCCTGGACATCAGACGGTTTCCTATCTCTTCGGTTCCATATCTGCGGGAAAAAAGTAGGTAATCACAAAATTCGGATTGAATCGACCTACGATCCTGAAACTTGGATCAGGTTAATCTAGACCCAATACATTTGGACCCTGTGGACCGGGGAATAGAGAATACGGCCAGTGTAATCCCTGCCTGTCGTAAGAGGCGACTAAAAGGGAGAGGTACCAAGGCCCAATACATTTGACTTGAAGTAATACAGGATTTAAAGACGTGAATCAGAACAACCTGGGATACAAAGACTTGGGTCAGACCAACCTAGAAGTTTTTGGAAGAGAAACTAGGATCAGACATATCCAGGACTTAGGAACTTGGATCAGACGAACCCAGAAGTCACCACTCGCACCAGGTTAATCCAGAATCAAGAGATTCGGATCAGGCCAATCCAGAGTCTAGGGGTTAGGGCAAATCTAGGACTTAAAATCTTGGATCAGACCTATCTAGGGCCCAGAGATTTGGATCAGAACAACCTAGGACCCAAGGAACCAAGCCAAGACTGGACTTGGATCCAAGGACCCAAGAAGCCGACTCCTAAGGACCTGCCAATTTTGGGATTCAAGTTAAGGGATCTCCTGGGCCGGGGGCTTTCAGGTTAGAGGGTATCTGTCTTGGGTTTCGAAGTTCAGGTAACTTTGGACTTGAATACTTGAATTCGGGAGTCTCGAACCTATTTCCTTTAGTCTGAAGATCTGGAGTCTCAGTGTCGGGAGAGCTCAGACATAGGTTTCTGAGTTTGATTCCAATCTGTGAGTTTCGAATTAATCAGATTCTAGTCTTAGCACTCCATTGTTTGTCAAATTTTCAAGGCTCTGACTCCCTAAGTTGATTCAGTTTGAGACCCTTGGTTCTGTATGAATCCAATGCAAGTCTGTAGGTCCTGCGTGAATCCCATTCGAGCGTCTCAGTCCTGTATTAGTCCAATTCGAATCTTTGGGGTAACAAATCGTGCATTGGGTTGGTCTAATTTGAGTCTACTTTGAGTCTGTTGGTTTTGATTTGTTTCCGACTTAAGTTAACGATACTGATTTTGAGAACGTGTAGTAAACAATTTGATTGTTTAAATGAATTTCTTGCTTTTCTTACTTGATAACGGGCAAACTTGTTGAGTTTGGCTGCGCGATAGACAACGATATCGGTGGATCAACAACTTGAACGCATATCGCCAATGTATAACGTGGCAGACCGGTGATATTAATGTCTAACTCGTCGACGTAAACGCCCCAAGTGTCAGCGAAGACGTATACATCCACGGACACGGCCTGGAACGGGTCGAGGTCGGAGCTTAAAGGATCTACGTAAATCACAACGCCCGCGTCGGGTTGCTTCACACGGCAAAGCGTTTCTTCTGACAATAAAACGGAGGAAACGTATATTATTCTTTACGAAGGAAAAAAGTTAATATCCTGTTGAAATATATCCAATCATCCAACGATTTGAATTGGGTAAATATAACCATTCAGAAATCATCCTACCGACTATACTTTTATTATGACCGAAAGCTTGTTTGTAAATCAACTTTATATTATCTTTCCTCGTCTGGTTCTCGCAGTGACACTGAATCGGATAGAAATTTTTCATCCAAATCCGAAAGCTGGTCGGTATTGGAGTTTCATTTTTTATCACGAAGGTCTTCTTCACCGCTGAAAATTGAATTTTTTTTAAATTAATCACCTCGTTCCAACAGCTATATTCTATACCGATACCTTTTTGTAACGACAAACCCAAAAATTCAATTACAACCGGTTGCGTCGGCGCCGGAAGAGTTGTTTCGTGAAACGGTACCACGTGTCCAGGTGAAATATTATCCTCTGTTCTTTCCAGTTCTTCCGTCGCGAAATCGCTCATCTACAATCATTATCGTTAAATCACAAGATTAGTAACGGCCCGTTTATCGTTACGATCTTTTTAACCCAATAACGATCATTTAACATTTTAAGGATTCCTCGTCTTTAACAACCTTGAAAACTCCGAAAATAATGACCATTAAAAAAATACTATTCTTGCAACATATTGGTCCCAGTACAAAATAATTTTTGTTTTTGTAATCTGGGAACGAAAGGGTTAATAGTGTCGCGGTCTTTTACTTTAATGATCTCCGAAGTACGGGTGCTTAAGGAGGACTCCACCCCCGATTCCTCCGCGTCAGACACCGAGGGGCCAGCGGAAGCATCTTTAAGAACGTCCCCTTGATCCAGATTCGTGTTCATTAATTCACGTTCGTCCCGCGTCTTGTACCTGTCCAACAGTTTCTGCAAAGTCGCTCGTTAACGTTTTTCACCTTCACTCACTCGACTCCATCACCCCACTACCCCTTTTTCGATCCACGATGAAACATACCATTCCCCTTTTGGTCAAATCCGCCG